GGTGGCTCAAACTCACCAGCCACTCCTCAGAGAAGGATGTAGCAGTTTGCTTCCATAAAGATTTACTTCCTTTGGAAGCCCCACACGGCAGCTCTGGTCTACCCTACAGGGTGTCTGTGAGCCAGACTCGACTTGACAGTGGGTTTGGTTCATCTTTATGGGAGCTGATCAGCAGGCTTTCCTCTCTTGGATCTTCTAGTGGATTTGAACCCCCAGCCTTTCAGTTAGTAATGCAGCTCTTAACCATTTTACCTCCAGGGCTCCCTTTGACCCTCATAATGTGTTTTAAGTTTGAAACATTGTAGAATTGGGGGAACTTACCTAAATATCCGTGTTCCTGGTTGTCTTGAACAAAGCACATTTCGTTCATTCTCACCTGCACAACTCACTGGCTACAGCACTAATCCCAGCGAGAGATGGCGGTACCTTGAACCACGGTGGTGGTGACAGACATGAAGACATCTTGAAGATAGAACCGACATGGTTTGCTGGCAGATTGGATGTGGGGTGGGGAGCTGAGAAAGAGGAGCCCAGGGTGCTCCATGGGGTTCGGGCTGAGCAGCTAGACAATAGTGGCCATTTGTTGAGTTGCAAAAGACTGCAGATGGTGGGTCTTTCTGTTTTCTTGTGCCCAGAACTTGGTGGGCTGGGGCTGGGGTTAGCCCTGTTGTCAGTATTTTTGGCATGCTCATCCGGGGAAGCTTGGAACGGCAGCACTTTGGGAGAAGAGAGGAGGTGGAAGGAAAAGACAGGCACCATGCTTCACAGGTTAAAAACGTGCCCTCGCCATCTTGGCTGGTTGTTCCCTGAATGGCACTTAAAGTGAGCCATTTGCCTCCTTCCCCAGGAGTGGCACAATGGATGCCGGAGGGTTACAAAGAACCAAGAGGCTTTCATGTTGCTTATGGGCTGGCTAAAAAGGCGTGTGGGCTGCAGTCTGCAGGACGCTCATCTCGTCATAGGCCATTTAGGGGATTATCTTGAGAGAAAATTGTCCTGTGAATGATTCATGGGCATGGTGGGGTGGCTAATCTGAGCTCCGTCCTGTTGTTAGACATATATTGGACTTGTTCTCCCTTAGCAGAGGAAATGCTTTATCACAGCCTCCTGCTTTGGGGCCCGGCCCTACATACCCGGGAAGGAGGTCAAGAGAGAGACCGCTGACAGGGTGCACCTTTCTACCTAAAGAGTGTCTTAGGGGTTGTGAACTTGGCTCTAGAGTTGGATTTCTCAGGGTCATATTCTCACTTCATTATTTGTTAGCTGTGTGGCCTTGAGAAAGTGACTCAACCTCTCTGGTTCTCGGTTTTGTAGTTCGTGCAATAAAAAGTGGGGAGGGGAGACCATACGTAGGTTCTTGTGAGAATCAAATGAGATGATCCATGTTGTTGTCGTTAATTACCACTGACTCGACAGGGATTTGCATAAGTATCTCTGTTCCTATTTGTCTTGAACAAAGCAGGTTTGGCACATTCCATGCTCTGGGGCTGAGGTGGCTACTGCACTGGGAGGTTTTATATGTGCCTGAACGAAACATTGAAAGGTCATTGAAGGAGAATATTGAAAGTGCCATGGGCTGCCAAAAGAATCACTAGATCCATTTTGGAAGAAGTGCAGCCAGAGTGCTCCTTAGAGGCCAAGGTGGCCAGACTAAAGACATATTGTCAGGAGGGACCAGTCACTGAATATGGGTATCATGTTTGATAAGGTGGAGGGTCAGAGAAAAAGAGGGAGACCCCCAACGAGATGGATTGGCCAAGTGGCAGCATCGATGGTCTCAAGCGTGGCAACAGTAGTGAGGGTGGCCCAGGATCAGGCAGTGTTTTGTTCTGCTGTGCATAAGGGCATTATGGGTCGGTACCGACTCGATGGCACCTAACAACAACAACAACACACCATCTTCATGGCCATTGATAGGTTTGGGTCCATGGGACTCATCTTCCCGCACTGCATCAGACACCATTCTGGTGTGACCTGGAGGTTCATTTCTTGGTGTTAGATCTCCGGTCCTTTTTTTCTAGTCTCCATTGAAACCTATCGACCATGGGGTGACTCTGTTGGTCTTTGAAACCCATGGTAGAGCTTCCAGCCACACACAAGCTATCGCAGGACCACAAACTGACTGATAGTGGCAGCGTACTTATATACAAGGGGGCTTCAGAAAGTTGGTGGAAGAATTCCCTTTTCTTTTAATTCCATTTTTCCATGAGCTTTTTGAAGCCCCCCCCCCCCATAATGCTAACCCACCATTTCCATCATCTTGTAAGAGAAATACATAAAGTAACCTCTTACACACCTACTGTGTGTCGGCACGTCGCTGAATGACTTAGGTACATTTATTGTCTCAGGAGTCCTGATGTGGCGCTGTGGGTTGATGCGCTGGACTACAAGGTTGGTTTGAACCACAAGGTCAGTGGTTCAAGCTTACCAGCTGCTTCTTGGAAAGCCTATACAGGGTCACTGTGAGTCAGAACCAACCCAATGGCACTGAACAACAATTGTCTCAGGGTAAGAGCCCAGGTAACATAGTGGATTATGAGCTGTGCTGCTAACTGCAAGGTCAGTAGTTCAAATCTACCAGTCACTTCTCGGGAGAATGATAGGCTTTCTGCTCCCATAAAGATTTACAGCCTTTGCAAACTCTGTCCTGGGTTGCTATGAGTCAGAAACAACTTCATGACACACAGCCACCACCATTGTCTCAGGCTAACTTCACAGCAACCCCTCCACATGGGTATGGTGGTTCCTGCTACTGGTGAACCAGAAATGTAGCCAGTAGCTAAGTCACCAAGGTCAGCTGACTAGCAAAAGAGGAGATGAAATTTGAACCCAGGACGGACTGACTTTCTTTCTAGTGACACTTGAGATACATTTCCTACAAGCAGAAAGCTTCAAAAACATGTTGGGATGGGGGCCATCCTATATGTTTTGCGTCCCTAAGCGTGTTGACACTGGGTGCCGTTGTTTATACCTGTGTTCTGAGGGAGGTGTGCTGGTGACGCAGGAGTTAAAGCACCCGACTGCTAACCGAAAGGTTGTTAGTTTGAGTCCATCAGCTGCCCTGCGGGAGAAAGATGTGGCAGCCTGCTTGTGTAAAGACAGCTATGGAAAACCCATGAAACAGCTCGAGTCTGGCGATGCTATGAGGCGGAGTTGACCCAAGGGCAGCCGGTTTGGTTTGCTGTTCTAGGAACATCTCTCTCCTCTCATCTCTTGGTTTCCTCGGGGTCAGACAGAGCCACCAGCCTGCCTTCCCCATCTGTCTCTAATCATGTGTCATACCATGATTTTACTTTTGGGGTGAGGAGGAGGGGGGCTTCCTTTGTGTCCCCCAGTCCTCCCACCACCATGACCCTCTTCTGCCTCAAGTCTGCTCGATTCAGGGGCAGAAATAGCTCCAGTTGTGAGGTGCAGGTTTGAGAGTTTAAAATCGCACTTGGTACTATTTATACTTCATCTAGAAAGATGGGTTTTATGCAGTGGTTTATTTTGTTGTGGTGGTGATCACTGGCGCTGGAAGCAGCAGGCACCAGCCCTGTATAAACATTTCTCTGGGGACGTGTGGGCGGTGAGGGGATGCTTCAGGTGCAGGGGGTGGGTACTAGGCCTGTCCAGAAATGTCTGGAAATGCCAGAGGAAGTGGTTCATGTTCTAGATGAACTTTCTTCTTAGATGCCCTGGTAATTTAAAAAAAAAAAAAAAAGATTGGTATTTTATACATCAAGAAATTAGCACATACTTGAGGGAATAAAAGTTGAAACTAGTTTTTCCACATGTGTAAGTGGACTGGGCAGTGTTTCTAGGTCAGTCTAAGTTAAAACGGACTCAGTGGTACCTAACAACAACAAAGGTGGGGGCTGTAAGTTGGTAGATCTCAGACATGCTTTGTTTGGCCTGTGAAGCATTAGCTTTTTTTTTTTTTTTTAATTGTGTCCATATTTAAAAATTGGGACATTTCTCCTGAAATTCGAATTTCTGGCTTACCTTGAAAGATGGAAATCTCTGACAGTTCTGGGCCTGCATTTCCTGGTGGCTGGTGGTGGCTGGCTGCACTGCTTTCTAGAGCGCCACAAGCCCCTCTGGTCTGTGCCTCTCATTCACGTTACAACTTGGTCCTGACAACTTCTGAATGTAGGACTCTGTAAGTAGGAGACAGTAACATTCCCCAATTTCGATTCCTCTGGGCTTAGCTATTGTTGGTAGTGTTGGCAAGTCAATTCTGACTCTTAGCAACCCCATGTGGCAACGTCGAATTGCCTCCTAGGGTTTCCTAAGGTGTCATTTTTATTAGAGCAGGTCGCCGGATCTTTTGCCCCATGAACTGTTGCATGGGTTTGAACCACTAACCTTTCATAGTTTCTAACATCATAACATCATTCAAGCCACCTCAATAAAACAAATTGGTAGATGTTGGAATATAAATAAATACATCCTTTAACTATTAACAGTTTGGTATATGTTATTCCAGGCACTTTTTTTGTTGAATTATAAACATTTTTGTTGTTGGTTTATGGTCTGCATATCCGGCTACTTGCTTTTTTTCTCTGTGGCTTTTCAGGAGGCATTATGAGAGAAGGTCTTGAGGCTGTGGACTTAAACCTACTTCATTAGAATCCTGGCTCCACCACTTGTTAGCTGTGTGACTTTGAGCAACTTACTTCACCTCTCTGTCCTCCATTTCCTCATCTGTAATGGGAACCATAAGGAGTAGCTCTCTTCTTTCCTGTCAGCTCTTAAAAATCTATCTTGTCCGTTTTATGAACTGTGTAGAGTGATGTTCCTCAGTGGTTTTACTCAGTCCTTTCTTGATGGGCGTCAAGATTGTCATCAGTTGATCACTATTTCAAATGAGGCTGCAGAGGTTTTGAAAAGGGGAAGAAGGTCTAGAAGGAACTGGGCACATAATCCTAAGACTTTGTGCTTTTAAAAAAAAAAAAATGACGGGGCGTTTGTCTCCCTGGAAACCACATACTAATCTCTAGGATATTGTCTCTTTTCAGGCAAAGGAGGTAGAAGAGACCATTGAGGAGATGCTCCTCAGACTGGAAGAGTTTTGCAGCTTGACTGACATGGTGAGTATCTGCTGGGAGGCGTGGATTTAGGCCCAGCCCAGACTTCAGGTTCTTCCCCAAGTTTTCTGGGGAAGCCATTTTGGTAATGATTTAGCAACCAGAAGAAGTGGGGCAGCAGCCAGCAGTGAGAGAAAAAAACCATGTTCTCACACACACATATACACACACACACAGACTCTCTCTCTCTCTCACACACACACACCCCTCTCACACAAACAGGCAGTCTCTCTCTCTCTCTCTCTCTCTCTCTCTCAACCCCAAGTGTTTCCTGAGGCGGCCATCTTGATAATGTCCTTCCCTTGAGATGGTTTTTATTCCACAGAGGAGTAGGGAGTGAGCCACAAGGTGGCACTCTCGGGCACCAATGCGGGGAGCCGTTCAGTGGGGATGCTAGGACTATATTTAACTTTCCTCTGGCTCTGCGCAGTTCACAGTACAAACATGGAGACTGCCAGGAAATGGCTTCAGGTCTGTGAGGCCTAGAAGGAGCCTCTTGCCCACACTGAAGCCTGTGGCAGGGTTGGGCATTGAGTTCTTTTCTGAATCCTGTTGCTCTCTGTCAGCTTTTGCCTTCTCTGGTTGGGTTAAATTCCCATTGCTAAGTATGGAAGAGGATGGAAGACAATGCCTTAGACCTAGAAGACACAGATTCCACCCCAAATTCTCTAGAAATCTCATCTAGAGTAATACTTTTTCAGTATTGTTGCCAGTTGGATGTAGGTTCCCTAGGGGCAATGATGGAATTTTATGGAAGTCCCCAAGCTTCATAAAGGCAAAATAGCAACCCAGTTTGGGCCTCCTCCTTTCTGGAGGCCCAAAGAGTAGAGTTTTGTATTGTGACCAACTTCTACCTCTCCCTGGAGGAAAGAAGCTGGCCCAACTGGGCCCAGTGGTTCAGTCGATGCTTTCGTGAAGCCCAGCTTCTGGAAGCTGAGAGGTATTTGTGAGAGTCCAAGGGAGTAACAATAGCAACAGATGTTTATTAAACAACTGCTTTGTGCCAAACATGATACAAAGTATACTTCATCTCATTTTCCCTAGAAACAACCTAACCGCACTATTTTCATTATTCAGGCCACATTTGAATGCAGGCCAGCCTTTAGGGATGCAGTAGTGGACAATCTAGAAATGTTCCTACGAGGACCTATGTGGTTTTTCTCTCCTGAGAGCCAACTTGGGAATTCAGATGTAGGTTCAGGTGGGAGCTGAGTATCAAGATAGGCTTTTTTAAAAAAAAAAAAAAAAAAGTTTTATTTTGAATTATGTGATAGTTTACATGGGATACCATAGGTTTTACATTCATTCTGTCATATATCGTTTCATTGCCATAGTTACAATCCCGTCCATGCATCAAGATAGGCTTTTAATGAGCTGTCTGGTCTTCATCACCAAACGTTGGCCTCTTTTTCAGGACTCAACCCCATGGTGAGCCGAGGGTCGGGCCCATCTCTGTCCTCAGTGGGCCCCCAATCTATTGGGGGAGACCAGTTTGTGTGTAAGCCATTATCACCCAGTTCTGTCAAAAGCACCAAGGAATCCCTGAGCAAAGGCATTGAATTCTGCCTGGGAAATCAGGAAGGCTGAGCAGGAGGTGACTCATTTGGGCCTTGAAGGAGGAACAGAAAGAATTTAACAAAGGGGGAGGGGAAGCATCCAGCACAAGGACCAGAGGACCTGTGGGCACAGTGTTTCTGGGCTTCACATCAAGAATGTTGAACACAAAGTAATGAAAGCAGTTTTGGAGGCTCATGGGCTGGTACCCCTGGAGAGAACCTTTGCTCTTGATTCTTAGCCGCACCATCTAGGTGGGCGTTCGTTCTGTGAAAGGAGAGCTACCATCTAGCCTTAGAGGACAACCTGCAGTGGAAGTCAGCTTCATCTTATTGTTAAGTGCTGTCGAGTCGATCTCAACTCATAGTAACCCGGTCAGGGTTTCTGAGGTGCAGCTAGCTGGTGGGTTTGAACTGCCAACCTTATGATTTACAGTCCAGTGCTGATCCTACAGCGCCACACCAGGAGTGGGAGTCAGCTTGTTGTTAAGTGCCGTCGAGTCAATTCCAACCCATAGTGACCCTGTATAGGGTTTCCAAGGAGCAGCTGGTGAGCCTCAACATTGACCTTGCAGTTCAAAGACTTTGCAGTCTGACACATTAGCCCACAGTACCATACAAGGACTCCTCTCTTGTTATGTGCCGTGGAGTCGGTTCCGACTCATAGAGACCCTGTACAGGGTTTCTGAGGCCGTAAATCTTTACGGGAGCAGAAAGCCTCTTATTTCTCCCACCAAACAGCTGGTAGTTTCGAACTGCTGACTGCAAGATTAGCAGCCCGATTCATAACCACTACACTACCAGAGCTCCTTAAATAGGTGGAAATAGGCCCATACCATCCATCCCTTGAAAACTTCCAGGCTGTCCGTGGTAGGAGGTTGGTGCTGTATTGCAGGAGGTATCGGGAACGTTGTCTCTCAGCTTTGAAGTCTTTTTCTGCTGGTGGTGCTTTATGCCGTCGAATTGGTTCTGACCCATGGCAGCCCTGTAAAGGGTTTCAGATGTTATAAATCTTTATAGAAGCTGAACGCCTCCTCTTTCTCCCATGGTGCGGCTGTTGGATTCAAACCACTAACCTTGGGGTTAGCAGCCTGGTGAGTAACATTATGCCACCAGGGGCTTGAAACCTAGAGATGCACTATGTAAAGATTCATGCGCAGGTCATACCCAGGTGACCCAAGGACCCAACCTTCTTTACAGCTATATTGGATGTTTCCGGAAAAATGGGAATTGGCTGCTCTTGGAAAAGCAAAGATCTCCCCCATCCCCACACTTATTCCCACCTGGCAGGCACCAGTTGGACCTGCTTAGTGGCCACCCCTGTGGACAGAGCTTCTGCTCCCCAGATTGTCACCATCCCCACTTACAATGGGAGAGTCTCTGAACCTGTGACCTATTAAAAGTGGCAAAGTAAAGCCAGACCACGAGGACCTCACATTTCAAGAAATGAAAGAGAACACACTTCCTAGCGGAAGTGAAGCCTATTTCGGTGTGTTTAATATGCAAACGAAGCAAGTCTACCTTGCTATAAAATGTGTCCCGTTGCTAGTAGGGCTTCTTGAGTTAGCAGCCCCGGCTCCCATGCTGCCTTAGTATCTAGTGCTATGCTTACAGAAATACTGCAAATGAGTGGTTTTAACTAAAAGAAAGGTGTTTTCTGACTGTTAGGCCGGCACCCTGAGTTTGGACTTCTAGCTTCCTAAGGGAAAGGTTTTTTCCCTCCCAGATCTGGGGGAAGATCCTTGTCTGTCTGTAGCTAATGTCTCTTGGTTCCTTGAGGCTCTCATGTGTCGAGGTATCTCTCTTTCCCCACCTGTGCTTGCTTGCTTCATTCCTTGCTCAATCTACTCCTTTTATATCTCAAAAGAGATTGATTGAAGACACACTAAGTTCTGGGGTGCTGCTGTGTGTGTGTGTGTGGGGGGGGGTCATGCACTGGACCGCAAGGTCCGTTTCAACTACCTTGTCATTGGTTCAAGTTCAACCGCTCCTTGGAAACCCTTATACAGGGTCAATAAGAGAAGGCATTTAACAACACCCACCCTTCTTCAGTAACATAACAAAGAACCCCCATTCCCAAATGGGATTCTAACCACAGGTATACAGAAGTTAGGAATTGCAACATGTATTTTAGGGGGTCGCAGGAGGGCACAATTCAGCCCATAACAGATGCTATGTGCAGATGTCAGTTAACATTACAGACACCTCCAAGTTATCCAAGGGGTCCTGACCACCTCTTTTCTTTCCACCTGCTTTATACCTCTAGCTAAGGATGCGTGGGGGCTTCTGGGCTGATGTCTCACCTTGGACCGCTGTCTGCAGGGTCCCTGCTTCAGCCTTCAGAAGCACTGCTTGATGACGTTAGAGGTCTGAGAGAGGCCATGCTCTGTGTTGTACAGTCCAGAAAGAAGCCGCTTCATTTCAAATCAAGTCCAGCTATTAGACATGAAGTCCAGCTTCCTGTGTGATGCATTCATCCGCCTGCCAGCTGGTCCTTGGTCACTCTCTGTAATGGGAATTTACTATCCTGGCTAGGCCTGGGACCTGTTTTGACCTTGTTGTTGTTGTTAGCTGTGATTGAGTCAATTTCAACCCACAGCAACCCCGTGAGTGTGTATCTACAGAGTAGAACCGTGTGTGTATCTACAGAGTAGAACCGCTCTGTAAGGTTTTCGAGACTGTGACTTCTCAGAAGCACATCACCAGTGCTTTCTCCTGAGGGGCCTCCGTGTAGGTTTGAACTGCCAACCTTTTAGCTGGTAGTTGAGTACTTAACCATTTGTGCTCATTTAAGTTCAGGTTCAGATCCTACCGTGGGGCCTTGAACACATCGTATTACTTTCGTGGACCTTTATTTTCGCCTCTAAAATAGAGATAGTGTTCTGATTTTATCTGTTGCTACATCAGTTAGTTAAAAAATGTAGTGATGTTGCAAACAATTAGTCCATGTGGGAACCCCAGCCTCCATGACTCTGAACCCCAAAGAATATGATAGTGCGAGATTACTGCTGCTAACTGCTCTGGAAGGAATCGTAATAGGAGGTCCTGGGTAGAGTGGAAGCAAAATGTAGAACAAAACTCAGGTTTACTGGTCAGATAGAGACTGGTAGACTAATCCTAAAACTACATGGCCCTTCGTCATCCTTCCAGCCTAGAGCTGAACTCAGCCGGTTGGTTCAACTTTCAGCCAAACAATAGGCCTAGAAGGTGAACAGTAACATCAGGGAGGTGTGGACCCGTAGAATAATCAACCGGATGAGATCAAAAGGGCAGCATTTGCCAGGGGGCGATCTTAGAAGGCATGAAGTGATAGGAATGAAGGAAGAATGGAAATCGGAAACAGAGGGAGAGGAAAAGGAATGCTGTTACATTGAGAGGATTGCGGTCCTTGTCACTAAACGAAATGTGTCCGAATGGTTGAGTGGAAAACCAGTTCTCCCACAGAGTAGC